CTTCAGATCTTCTTGTGGGCTGGCTGATGTGATGGTGCGTTCAAGCTCTCTGTACACTGTAGCATAACTGTGAACAGAGAGTGGGGATTTGGTGAATGGGTAATGTTTACATGATTGCTGTCTTGTTATCGTAACACTTTCAGTCATGTCGGACCTTTGGTTCTCTGTGAGGTTGAGGTGGCGTTTGACATCCAGCAGCACCTCCCTGAGGAAACTCAGCCTCTTCTCTTCAAACTGCTGGCACTGGTCGAACACCTGCTCCATGTTCTCCATGTATGAAGGGGTGCATTTACTCAGCTCATCCAGAGCCTTCTCATACTTCTCCTTAGCCTGTGTTGCAACACACACGGACATAACATGATTAAAGAATCATTCCAGAAGCAAAGCTCTTCACGGTCTCATGCTTCCATGTATAAACCTCTGGCATTAATATGCTAATCGTTGCAAAGTACCCTTGGCACCGCTGAACCATGGCATCAGACTGCCAGATGACCTGAGAGCAGCTGGAAGTGTTAAAATGTTTAAACTTACCTCGTCAGTGTGGCTTTTCACTTGGTATATTTTACAGACATCACTTTATTTTTTATTTCATGTACTGTTTTTATTTGATCTAATTTGTACTTTTATTCTTATTTCTTGATTCAAGTCTTTATGCCTCTTAATTTTTACTTTTTAGTTTTACTTAGCAATTAGCGACTCTCCATCCATCCATCCATCCATCCATCCATCCATCCAACATGCAGCCTGTGGTTTCAACTTCCCTGCTTTTTAATTGTTGTTAATTTTATCATATCGTATCACACTCTCTGCAATGTTTTTTTTTTTTTTTTAACTTAGGCTAAATTGCTTATCTGTGTATATTATCTGCTTGTTTTATTATATTTTCCTGTCCTCAGTCACTTCTGAAGCACATTTAGCAACGTTACCTAGCATGAGGTTCAGGTAAGGTTACAAATAAAATCTGACTGATCAGAAATTGTTTCTTGTCATGGACAAATAACCAAAAAGAACAAAGAAAGCATCCTGCTTATTGTAGTTTATTAATTTTGGCTTATATGTCTGTGGCATACTACTCTACTGATGTCCAAAAACAATTAAAATAAATCCTATCCCTATTGACATTGCTCCCCTACAATCAACACACACAATTGGTTGCTTTATCACGGTACCTGAACCATTATATGAATGGCAGTAGTGGCTGGTACCACGAGAAGAAGGCTGCATCTGTAAATGACCCTGTGAATGTTTTGATGCAGCACCTCCTAGAGGCAGTTATATCAGTGTTTCAAACTTTAGGTCCAGCCATTTTTGAGCACTGGCATTAGCCTATTTGTTAGCTGAAATTAATAACACTGGTTCTAGATTAGTGGTACAATGTCAGTTTAATTCTGTTTAACCAGAAGTTCTTCTACTTCTGGTGCCAAAGAACCAGTCTAACTAATGTCAGCTTTCTCCTGTCTCCTGTTTTAAGCTCCACCCCCCAAAAAACAACAACAACAAAAACAGATAATGCGACTGAGCTGCTTTTAAAAAATGATTACAATTATTTATATTTAAGTCTGTAATAAGATCAAAATAACTTGGGGTGACCATTGTTTTAATAACACACGTATTCCACGTGTTCATATAAGTTTCATTTATGGAGTCAATTTGAAACACACTAATCTTGAGAGAACAGTATCAAATGTTCCAGCACTGAGGCAGTAAAATGAGACTAGAGTCCATTTCAAGAGCAGTGAATGAGAGTTACTGACTGAAGGAGTGGCATACTGTCACATATTAACAATGCTGCACTGGCTCCAACCAGACAGCCTTAAAATAGCCTTATTTGCCTTTGGCATTATTGCAGTAAATATCTTTTGCATAATGATGCTGGAGCAGCGGCAGCTGATGTTCTCACCTTCTGTGAGTCCTGTTTACATTTGTCCACTTTCTCATGGAGTTTCTTCTGCTGATCAGCTGCCACAGATGACTCTCCCTTGATGTTGGCCTCTCTGGTGGTAGCCAGCTTCTCCTCTTTGCAGGTCATGTGGTATGTTTTCTTGGCAGCCTCGAGCTGAAGAAGGAAATTCAACATAAACAGAAGAAAGCAGTATGTAATCAGACTTTGAAGATTTAAAACGAGTCCTCGTAAAGTTCACACTCCCTCACCTCTTTCAGCTTTTTGGCCCATGGTTTCTGAGCCTTCTTGAAGCCTTCCTCTGCCTCTTTGGTTTCCTTGAATCCACCCATCATTTGTTTGTGGTACGAGTCTTTCTGCCAGTTCTTCACTTTCTCAAAGTCCTCATTGATCAGGTAGTTCTTTATGTCCTGATGGAGCTCGCTCACGTTCTCGGCCTCTGTCATCATCGCCATCCAAGCTCGTTCTACTGTGCCGTACTGAGGCCCTAGTGAAAGAAGGAAGTGTGGGTAAAGTATCAAAACTTTATTTGACATGGAGTCAGATCTGGGGGGTGAAAGACGACACTGAGAACAGAAGCCTAGAGGAAGGATCGGTCTATTCCGTCTGTGAAGGTTCTCAGTTATCCAGGTCATTGTAGTCAAAGGAGCTTGCAAAGAAAAGC